ATAGCAAGGCATGGTGGTGTACACTTTTAATTCCTGCACTTAGAAGGCAGAAGCTAGCTGGGCGGTGGTGGCGCATGCCTTTAATCTCAGCACTTGGGAGGCAGAGGCAGGCGGATTTCTGAGTTCGAGACCAGCCTGGTCTACAGAGTGAGTTCCAGGACAGCCAGAGCTACACAGAGAAACCCTGTCTTGAAACAAAACAAAACAAAACAAAACAAAACAAAACAAAAAGCAGAAGCTGGTGGATCTCTATGAGTTCAAGGCCAGCCTGGTCTACATATCAAATTCCAGGACAGCTGGTGCTACATAGAAAGAACTTATCTCAAAAATAAAGATATTTAATAACATTAAGGGCTAGAGAGATGGTTCAGCATTTACGAGCACTGGCTGCCCTTCCAGAGGACCTGGGTTCAGTTTCCAGCATCCACAAAGTAGCTGGTCACAAACATCTGTAACTCTAGTTCTAAGGGATCTGACACCCTCTCCTGGCCTCCACAGGCAACAGGAACATATGTGGTGCACAGACATACATGCAGGCAAAATACACACACACAACATAATAAAGAAGACATATAACTTTACATCCATGATAATCAATTGTTAATTTTAAAGAAAGGAATCCATATAAAGTGCTTGGAGTGAGTTCTGGCATTCAGTAAGTGGATAAAACCCCACATTAGCTGCAATTTATGATTTCTTACTGTCTGTGTCTCGTGCCAGTGCTCTCCCACCCCCGGGCTGTTTTCATGAGCAGATCACCATTACCATCTTGTAGTACCCAGCTAGGTGTCTCCAGCCAAAGCAGAAACAGCTGAATGCAGGTTTGTCAGCTGCTGACTCAAGGTTCAGCTCTCTCGCTCACACCCCAGACACCGCTAGCACAGTCTCTTACACATTCACACCCACTCACGTTCATTCAGAGCACCTCCAAACACCAGGGAAACAGCTACGTGGTTTCCCACATGCAGTCATACATACCTAAGTTAGGAACCCTGTACCCTTTTCCCTGTGCTCTCCCTGAGCAATCCACCCAGTGCTGAGGACCACCATGAAAAGAGAAATCAAAGCTAGAGTTTCCCCTTCAACTACTGCAGAATGGCCAGCTATGGCCGGGTGCTGCCTGCCCTTCTGGCAGAGGCCTTACTTCAGGGCCTTCTTAAACAACTAAGCACCTAGTATTAGCTGTGGTGATGCACTTTAATCCCAGTACTTGGGAGGCAGAGGCAAGCAGATCTCTGTGTTGGAGGCCAGCCTGGTCTATAGAGCAAGTTCCAGGACAGCCAGGGCTACACAGAGAAACCCTGACTCAAAAATCAAAAAAAACAATCTGGAGCCAGGGGTTGTTCTAGCAATGATCCCATTCAATCAAAGGTTCTAGGCAGGAAGACTGAGTTTAAGGCCATCCTGGGTTACACAGCAAGAGCCAGTCTCAAGGAAGAAAAAAGGAAGGAAAGAGAAAGAGAGAGAGAGAGACAGAGAGAGAGAGAGAGAGAGAGAGAGAGAGAGGAGGGAGGGAGGAAGAAAGGAAGGAAGGAAGGAAGGGCGGGAGGGATGGGGGAGGGAGAAGGAAAGGGAAGGAGGAAAGCAAGGAAGGAAAGAAGAAAGAAAGAAAGAAAGGAAGAAAGGAAGGAGGAAGGAAGAAAGAAAGACAGAAAGAAAGAAGGAAAGAAAGGGGGCCATCAAGACTGCTAAGTAAAGGCATTTGCCTTGGAAGCCTGGCATCCTGAGTTAGAGCCTGGCACTATGTACCATGTACATAGAGAACCCATGTAGAGGTGGAAAAAAAAATCCAACCCCACAAAGTCGTTCTCTGACATCCACATATGCGCCATTGCATGTATACCCACATGAACACGTCATGCACACACATGAGCACAAGAGTGCCTGCGACACACCCATCGCAAACCTTAGAGAGGGGAAACTGACAGGCACAGGAGTACTGGAGAGCCAGAACTCCAGACGCCATTACTTTCTCAGATGATTCTCTAAAGCTAGAAGCGTACACCTCTGTCCTCTGTCCTCTTCCCCTGGTCTAAATACAACAGTCTTCAGGGGAAAATACAGCATAATTTAAGCCAAGGGTGGATGGCGAGAGGACTTCCTTAAGCTTGAGGTGACACAACTGTGTTAGCAACTAAGGCCTGACATTCTACATACATACATCTCATTTAATACCCCATAACTACCCTTCTTCCGGAGGAGGGTACTGGAGTTATGGAGGCGAGGCCATTGATCTAAAAATCACCAGGTGGGATTGGCACCTAGTTCTTTAATTCCAGAATCTTGGATCCGGCTTTTGAGAACGAAGAAAGCTTGGCGCAGTTTTTTTTCTTTCTTTCTTTTTTTTTTTTTGTACGAATTAAAATGGAGAGAAACCGTCAGTCAGTACAGCATCTTCTCAATCGGTCAGACCCGATCTCTCTGGTAAAGGGCTGCTGAGGGCCAGGGGTAGAGATAGTCTCCTAAGGGACCTGGGCGGGGCCGGGAGAGCCCAGAGGAGGAGCCCAGAGGAGGAGGCGGTGGCTCAGGCCCACAGGCCAAGATGGCTGTTAATTAAAGTGCTGGCACCAGCTCCTTTCTGCAAAGTTTGAAGCCGTTATTTTCCACTCCAGCGAAGCGGGGAGAATCCGGCTGGGCTGACAGAGACGCCACACCGCGCCAGGGGAGCGGGCGCGCTTTCGGAGCGGGGGGCGGATCGCGGTGCGGAGCCGAGCGCGCCTCTCGGACGCCCGGGCGAGCACGGGGCGGGGGAGGGGGGGCGGTGGCAGCCTTCGGCCCCCTCCTCTGCGGCCGAAGACTGGTGGATTGTTCCCCGCCCGCCAAGTCACGGCTTCGGGCAGCCAACGAACGCTAGCAGCCTAGGGGACGAGGGGCTCGAGGGCGCGTCTTGGAGGTTTGGGGATCTGGATAGATCATACTCATGACTGTGCAAGCGCCCCTCGGGTCACTTACTAGCCCGGTCCTTCTAAAGGGAATCATGCCTAAGAAACTGTCCCGAGGGACCAGGAGGCCGCTGACAGCTGAAAGCTGAGGGCTGCCCGGCCCGAGTCTGCCTGGAGAAGTGTAGCGGCCCTAAGGCATGCTCGCAACACCTTGCACTTTCGATAATAAATAGGCCTCAGAGTCCCTGTCGCGTTGAGATTGAAACAGCAAGGAGCAAGGCTGCAGGCTTGAATCCCATCTCCACCGTATCTTACTTTCGTGACTTGGGGCAAATCTCTTAAGTTCGCCGAGCCTCTCCTCTCCATCTGTAAAACAAGAATAATGGTGGGCTTCACATCTAGATTGATGTGAAGATCAAAGGTGACCATACATACAAAGCATCCAACGCAGTTTGTTTTAGCTCCCTCCTCCTTGGTGATGGACGTCATGCCGGTCCGGGTTAGTATGTGGAAGGTCCTCTCGGGCAGCGTCCCGCCCACCCCCACTGCTACCAGTGGTTATTCTGGCGTCCCTTAGTCTCAGTCTTAGGTAGGAATAGTCAGAGAATCAAGTGGACAGTGGGAGGCTGGCGGTGGGAGAGTGAACTGGGAGGAGTCTTGCAGGCAAAAAGAATGAGACTGGAGTGTCATTGTTGATCGTGACCAGAGGCCTCGGAAAGACATAGCCCTCCTCCTCGGATACAGGAGGGTGAAGGCGGAACACAGCCTAAGCTGGGACTCACATAATATGACAAATATTTTGGTGGAAGCAGACACATTTCAGTTTATGCAGCCTAAACACTTTCCTGCACTAGAGGGAGAGCCTCATACGAACCTGATGGGGTAAGAGTTAGGGGGTCCCCTAAAGGGCTAGAGATTACCCCCCCCCCCGGTTTGGAAGCTAGAAAATACAACACTGCCCAGGACTGGTTTACATTAAGAGGTGGCCTGGGAGGGATTCCTCGTTTTCTCAGGGTCCTTATTTCTCCCTTGTCTAGCTAGTAGCTGAGATCAGACAGAGAAAGCCTCAGGGAAGAGGCCACAGGTAGAGGCAGCCTAGAAGATATCTCCCCGGGGCAGTGGAAAAGAAGGGGCTGAAGACTCGTTGCCACCTGGGAGAGGATGCCCCTGATATAGTTAGAATCAGATAAAAAGCCAGGCTGCTATTAGAATTCAGAGATTCCCTCCGGGCACCCTAAAAGCAAAGGATCCAGGCGGGCTATCTGGATGCTAGGCCCGGATGCCTATGGAACGCCCCTCCCTAGTCTTCCTTCCAGGCTTTAGCCCGCATCCTGTCCCTCTTTTTTGTCCTACTCTCTTGCTCCTCACTCTGTAACCACCCCCCCCCCCGCAACATCTCTTTGTCCCCTGCGATAGGGGCAATGTTGTATCTTTCGTCCTCCCGCAGGTGGTGGTCCTTTGACCCTCTGTCACGGTTTTCCTCGGGACTGACCCTCGGGACATTTATCCTGATGCCATGCTGAGCTCTCTGCCTCTCCCTGTGCCTCTTCCTTCCGTTCGCTCTTTGGTCGGTCGGTCCTATTCATTCCTGACTCTAGCCCCTTCCCCATTTCCCAGCCTCAGTCTCCAGCTCCCTCTGTGGTGCCCACCAGAGTCTCATAGGCCCCGCCCCTCCCTGCCCCTCCCGCCTCGAGGTTTTCCGCGGCCCAATTAGGCGCCTGTCCCGCCCGCAGCCCCACCCCTCGCCCTCTCCGAGCCCCGCGGAGCGGGTGGGCGGGGCCCGACGGAGGAGGCGGTGGCCCCGGCCAGGGAAGGCGGGAGGAGCTAGGCGCAAGGCGGGAGGCGGCGGCGGCCGCGGCGTTCAGTTGGGCAGCGCAGCGGGAGGGAAGCACGAGGCCGGAGCCGGCTGCTGGGCTCCGCAGCGCAAGCAGCGCAGCGCGGCGCCCGGGCCCCGGCCCCATGCCCGCAGCCCCACCGGACCGCCCTTGAGCGCGGGCGTCGCGCCCGCGCCCCTTACCCGCCGGCATCATTGCCCCGACGGCGCGGCCGGGTGGCCCGGCTCTCCCCAGGCTCCGCGCGGGCCGGAAGACGCTGCTGGCAGCCGCCGCGGGCGTGGTGATGCTGCTCGTGCTGGTGGTGCTCATCCCGGTGCTGGTGAGCTCGGGCGGCCCGGACGGCCACTATGAGATGCTGGGCACCTGCCGCATGGTGTGCGACCCCTATCCCGCGCGGGGCCCCGGAGCCGGCGCGCGGTCCGACGGCGGCGACGCTCTGAGCGAACAGAGCGGTGCGCCCCCGCCCTCCACGCTGGTGCAGGGCCCCCAGGGGAAGCCGGGCCGCACGGGCAAGCCGGGCCCCCCGGGACCTCCAGGAGACCGGGGCCCTCCAGGTCCTGTGGGGCCTCCCGGGGAGAAGGGTGAACCAGGCAAGCCTGGACCTCCTGGCCTGCCGGGTTCGGGAGGCAGCGGCGCCATCAGCACGGCCACCTATACCACGGTGCCACGCGTGGCCTTCTACGCGGGCCTCAAGAACCCTCATGAGGGTTACGAGGTGCTCAAGTTTGACGACGTGGTCACCAACCTAGGCAACAACTACGATGCGGCCAGCGGCAAGTTTACATGCAACATTCCTGGCACCTACTTTTTCACCTACCACGTCCTCATGCGCGGCGGCGACGGCACCAGTATGTGGGCAGACCTCTGCAAGAACGGCCAGGTGGGCCATGAGGGGGCATGGGGCTGACCTGGGGGCAGGGCACCCAGGGAGCCCCCAGGAGAATGCGTATTGGATCAGAGCCGACAGGCACACTAGGCAGGCGTAGGTGGAGACCCTAAAGCGGCCCCCTTAACTATCTCGTGAAGAATGGTTGTAATTAGCGGGCACCCCTGAGTCTTCAGCCCTTGGGCTTGAGCTCTAAGGGAAAGGCTACAGGGCACCCGCGGAGTGGAAATGCGTAAAGATAAATCCAACTAGTCAGATCACAGGGCTCTAGGGCTCGCGGACCCGTCCTTAGGGATTTGGCCCTTGGGAGGCTGATTCAGGCTGATTTCTCTTGAGAGCGAAGATTCAAGCTGACGCCGACTGGCTTTAAGGGAACAGCAAGCTCTAGGGCACGGATAAGGAGAAGCAGTCTCCGCGCCGGAGGGCGCTAAGACGAGTGGCTGTGCGCTCAGGAGGAGAGGGAGGGCTGCAGGAAATGTTTTGCCCACAAAGGCAGAGGGAGTTCGGCGCCCGATAGCCTTAGCTGCAGTACATCCCCGGCCCTAAGAAGGGACCATCGAGCTGTTCTAACATCCTTTGCCAGCCCCCTGGAATGCGCCACCTTTTCCCAGACTATCAGAGCTATCCTGCGCCTCCGGGGAAAAGTTTCCTCCAGAGGCGGGGCGGAGTGATGGAAACTCCCCTCCTTAAAGTCTCCAGGTACAGCTCCTCCAGTATCCTTAGAAGATAGGGAGCTAGAGTGCACGAGTCTGAGACAGGGTCTGAGACACGGATGCACAGCGTTGTCCTTGGAACCACCCACCCTCTGTTCCTTGCTCCCTGCTCTCACCTCTGGCTTACATGGACCCCACCCCGGGGGCGTGGTCAGACTGACTTTTTTTTAAGGCAAGGCCAGGGTCAAAACTTAGGGTAGGCTAGTGGAAGTTGGAAGGAATGCCGTACAATTGAGACTTCAGATCTTCTCGGAACCCCTCCCACTGCAGCACTACCCTGCTTTGGTATCTGCAAAGTTTGGGGATAGGAGAATGGGCAGAAAGGCTATTGGTGTGGAAGTGTGTCCTCTTTTTTCTTCTGCCTGCTCTTCCCAATCCCCACTATAGTGTCTGCCTCTTCTTTCTCTGTCTTTTGACCATTTCTTACCGGAATCTGCCATTCATCTCTGTCTTTCTTCTCTGGGTCCACCCCACCCCCCCTTCTCTATTTGCTGTGTCTCTCTCTCATTTGTGTCTATCAGGCTTCTGGTGTCTCTCCTCTTTGTCCTTGGTTCCTGACCAAATGGGAAGGCTCCAGCTCCAGCATCTAGCAAAGGCTCGTGCAGACAGCCCCACAAGTCCCCTTATTAATCACCAATAAGGCATGCAGCAATGTCACCTTCATTGATGGACTGTCTTCCCTCTGCAAAGAAAGTTTAAACTAGCCCAAAGTGGAGGCTTCAGGGACTAGGGGTTTGCTGGAATTAAGAGGTCACTAGGCCCTTAGACTCTGTGCCACCACAGGGGGTCACAGCAGGGCTCCAGTGATAGGGCATGAGGAGGCTCCCAAGATAGCAGGTGCTTGCAGTGGGGCCCCTTGCTTTAGTCCTTTGGAGGTGAAACATCCCCAACCTCTTCTCCCCCACCCCCAACCCCAGCAGTCTGTCATAGCCTGATGGAGGAGAGCTTACAAGCTGAGAGGACCACAAGCTACCAGAAGCTTACTGGATGGATATTTTAGGGTTTCAAAGACTTAGCACATTAACAGGTACTCAAGATGCCCCCCCCCCAAATGACAACAACAAAAACAACCAAGAAAAACAATGGAGTCTGCAGTCTTTTGTGACTTCATCCAGATTGTCCAAGAGGCTGGCTGAATCTCACCAAGTCCATTTCCTTTCTAGGACTTTATGTCTTATGTAGTGGGCACAGTAGCAGTGGACATACACTAACACACTCAATACACACTGCATTAAAGGTGGGCTGGGGATGTACCTGGCAACTCCTGTCTCTAAATGTTCTAAATGTGTTATCTGAGAGAGTGATTTGGTGGGTCCGTCCTACCCTAGCTCAGAACCGCTTGGCAGAAAGGAAGGAATGTTGACTCTGTTCACCGGGTTAGGAGAGACCACTAAGGAGGAAGAAGAAGGCCACATGTAGGAGAAGGCTGGCTCTGAGGTCTGAGGACATTTAACTAGACAGGAAAGAATGGCCAGGCTGCAGAGTTCATGGAGGCAGACGGAGGACACTTCCACTTTGCATACCTTCAGGAGCAGAGACCACCATGTGTTTTGAGTTCCTACTTTCCTGCTTGCAAAGAGGTTTTGTTTGTTTGTTTGTTTGTTTTTGTTTTTTGGTTTTTTTTTTGTTTTTTTTTTTCGAGACAGGGTTTCTCTGTGTAGTCCTGGCTGTCCTGGAACTCACTCTGTAGACCAGGCTGGCCTCGAACTCAGAAATCTGCCTGCCTCTGCCTCCCAAGTGCTGGGATTAAAGGCGTGCGCCACCACTGCCCGGCACAAAGAGGTTTCCAGTCTGTGCTTTGGTCCTTCCCTGGGCAAGATGAGTAGAGAAGGGGATTGTCAGCCACATGCCTAGTGCCCAAAGGCCGCTGTGTAAAGCCCAGTGCACATCCACAGGGGTAGCTTTGAGTCAATGCTCCCAATCTGATGGTTGGTACTAGTGCTTAGGGAGGAGCCTGGGGAAAGGGTTCCAGGTCACGGGCAGCTGCGTTGCCCCAACTACCTCCATGTCTGTGGTTGAGACAGGCCAGGGTGGACACAAATTGATAAACATGGCTGCAGGCAGAGGCCGTATGAGCACGTGCGAGTGATCTGTATGCTTTTTCTCCGGGGAGAGAGGTATGGAGAGGTGAGTATTACAGGGGGGTTAGGGCTTGGAGGACGAAGGCTGACACATACATAAACTGAAGACTGTGCTGTTAAAAAGAAAAGAAAAAAAAAGACCTACTGAGGGACAGGTGGTGGCACACACCTTTAATTCCAGCCCTCCGCAGGCAGAGGCAGGAAGATCTTGGTGAGTTCAAGGCCAGCTTGGTCTACAAAATGGGTTTCAGGACAGCCGACACTGTTACACAGAGAGAAACCCACTGAGGACCAGCTTCTCGTGTGGAGGGTGGAAAGAGACATACCTATTCTCTCTAGGTTCTGGGACCATTCTCAGCACAGAGCCCAGTACCTGGCATAGAGGAGACCAAGCAAACCTATGAGCCGACAGTCCTCTATGAACCAGGCTGGCAACCTCTGGGAGCCATCCTTGCATACCCAAGACCCCAGCATGGACTGGGGACAGGAGCACTTTTCCCAGTTATACCCTGGCAGCTCGGTTCCCCTGGTCAAACCACTGCCTCAGTTTCCCGTCTTGGCAGTCCCTCCTGACAAGAGGCACAGGCTGCTTTCTGGCTTCCATGGCAACCTCGATTCCTCCATCCTCCCTTAGGGCTCCCAAGAGGAGCTGGATGTAACTGCTTCAAATCTTGGGTAGGGAATCGGGACCCCTGGGTTCCATTTCAGGATCCCCTACTGTCTAAGGATGGAAGGGCATAAATTCTTGCTGCTTCCATGGATAATTAGGATAATTACAGCAACAATCATGGTGATGAATAAATAATAAACATGAACATAATAGTTCTGATGCCTGTCACATCACCAGGAGATTCCTGTTGACGGATGACTGTGTCCTCATGGATTTGGCTATTAAAATGCACAGTGTTTTAATGAGTTAAGGCTAAGTTAATCTGGGTAATAAAAATAATTGTTATTAGTGCTAATTTATTAGCAAAGATAATGAAGTGCACGTGTAATAATAAATACTACCAGGATTGGGGCCCAGGGAACAATACAGAAGTTAGCTGCTAGCTTTCAGCTCCTCTCTGTTGGTTTAAAGCCCTACCAAGACTTATTTTTTTTTCTTTACCATCCTAAGGCTTTCATAAAGGTGGCAGTGATTAGGTAGGACACACTGAGGTTTAGATAAACAGAATCCCTCTGCCTTATTTCCGCTCACCTTGTTTATTTATTTTTTTCTGAGACGGGGTTTTTCTGTGTATCTTTGGCTGACGTATGTCTATGCTCACTCTGTAGACCAGTCTGGCCTAGAACCCACAACGATCCACCTGCCTCTGCCTCCCGAGGGCAGGAATTAAAGGTGTGCGCCTCTACTGCCAGACCCACCTTTAAAATGTTAGCGTATATATTTATTGTGAGGAGACATAACATTTCTTGGTGTGGAGATTCAAAGACAGCTTGAAGGAGTCGGTTCTGTCCTACTATCTTATCAACCGTTTCTCCTGACTTTTTAAGGAGATGTTTCCCGGTTATAATCCACACGGTTCCAGTCCAGGGTGGGAAGAGGTTAAGAAAAGGGATGGGGCTGGAAGGACATTGGGCGTTGGGAGGGCTGCATTCACATGTGTTGGGCCCGCTTTGGTGTAGCTGTGCTGCTGAGTCAGCTGTTTTAGCCAGACTGATCCACAGTTACGCTTCCCGCCTCTCTCCTCTTTCCCTCCTCGCCAGCTGTGATTTGGGTTCAGCCTAGACATTAGTCTTCTGTTTGAGGGCTACAGGAGCTGCCTTCAGAGAAACAGTGGGATAGGGGGGAACTGTAAAAGCCGGCCTGAGAGCCCTGGCCTTCCCCACTGCAAGCCACAATCCAGGGATGGCTTTTCTCCCTCTCCTTTTTTTTTTTTTTTAATTTTAAAAAAATCTATTATTTTATGTGTATGGGTGTTCTTCCTGCATGTACGTATGTTTGTGCATCACGTGTGTGCCTGGTTCCTTACAGAGGCTAGAAGAAGGCTATGATTCCCTGGAGCTGGTGTTTCAGACAGTTGTGAACTGTTATGTAAATGCTGGGAATTGAACCTGGGTCCTTTGGAAGAATAGCCAGTGGTCTTAACCATTGAGCCAACTCTCCAGTCCCTCTTCTGTTCCTTATCCTTTCACTCAGGGAGACCTTAGATCCTAAAGCTTACTTCTCTTGTTGCTTCAGAAATGTCCACAGATAATTCTACTACCAACACCTTCTCCCCACCCCCCACCCCACCAATGTCTTAAAACTAGTCAGGGCCTCCAAATTCAATGAAACCTTCAAATCCCAATGCTAGTACTTCCTTGACCCTTTTCCTCCTGTCCTTATCTCCCCCTTCAAGACCACAGAAGGTGGAAGATCCCAGTTCCTTTCTTCCCATCTCCATCCTCTCTGCTCTTCTGTGATGAGACAGAAAGGGCTGGAAGTCCTTTGGCCAGGGCAATAGTCACAGGGACATAGCTATAACTCCCAGAGGCCTTGAACAATGAGGTCAATCTAAGTCCAGGTGGGGAAAGCATTACGAGGCCTTAAGTCTCAGTGCTCCAGTGAGAGAGACTCTGGAATGAACTTAGATAAGACCAAAGACCCTGGTTCTGGGAAAGCTTCTTCCTAGCAGTCTGATGGCCAAGCTGTATCCTTTGTTCATCCATTGACATGAGAGCTGGTGGGTGTGACAGACATGAAAAGGCTGTCTCTGTTGAAGCAAGAGGGAATGGATGCTAAGGGGAGAGGGGAAGATCTTGCATCTCTGGTAATACAATGTAGCTCTCTATGCTCGGAAGGACTGCCAAGCTGGGCCACCATGAAGGCACTGAGGTGGGCAGCAGGCAGATGGTAAGACCTGCAGGAGTTACAGAGTATCATTCCATCTGCACTTCCAATGCCGGCCCAGATGTGCCCCGCCCTAGAATCCAGGGCTCCTCTATGAATGTTATCCATAACTACAAAGGGGTAGGGTGGAAAGACAGGGAAAAGCAAGTCAAGGTCCTGAATGGCTGGAAAGCTAGGTGCGAGGGCCTCCAGATCCTCACCATGTGGCTGCCTCACCTCCTTCCCCTCTCACACTGCCCCACTCCCCATCCCTATCCCCACCTCCACCCCACCCCCGACCCTATCCCCTTAGGTGCGGGCCAGTGCCATTGCCCAGGATGCAGACCAGAACTACGACTATGCCAGCAACAGCGTGATCCTGCATCTGGACGCAGGTGATGAGGTCTTCATCAAGCTGGATGGAGGCAAAGCGCACGGGGGCAACAGCAACAAATACAGCACTTTCTCTGGCTTCATCATCTACTCGGATTGAGACCTCCGTACCCCTTTCCATCCGTGGCTCTTCATCCCTGGGCTCCCCTCTCGGGAGAGGCAAACAAGAACCCATTCCCTACTCATTTTCAAATTGCCTGGCCCAGGCTGCCGACCCTCCCAGGCTGAATAGCCCCCTAGCCCGCGTCCAACCACCCAGTCTTTACTCCGTGGAACACAAAGCTCCCCTCTTCCCGCACGCAGTTCCGGCCCGGGTGGCAGGTTGCCTTCCTGGTCCCAGCCTGCACTGTACATGTGTACAATAGGACTGTTTACTGCCTACCCCCTCCTGCCAGCCAACCCCAGTCTGGGGGGCGGGGAGTTGGCGCGGTTGCTTCCTGCAGGGTGACCCTGCCTTGGGGAAGAATGGGTTAGGGGTTGGATAGCTTCCCAGCACCCACAAAACCCTGGAACAGCTGCACCCGGTCTGACCAAAGCTATAATAAAAACATTTCACCCCGTGGGGATTTCAGTCTGTGCCCTGGGGAAATCTGTAGGAGGCGCCCTGGACCTTGTCCTCTAGGCTGGCAAGGCATATGGTAAAAGTTTCTGGAAGCAACCAGATGCAGAAGTCTTAGCTGCTCCGGGAAGGGCCAAAAGGTCTAATGTTCACCACTGCCCAAGCGGGCCGCTGGAGTGGGAAGCAATCCTGTTGCATCTTTCATGGCGGTTAAGTGCCATTTTGACTGCCAACATTGTGAACAAGGTACAAGCAACTTTAACTGGAAGGCTATGTTCCTGAGATACTGAGTGCTCTAAGCAAGTCGCTCTTGGGCTGGTGAAAGCTACAGAAAGGCCCAAGCTTTGCACTAAAAGCTGGTTGACCTTGGTCCAGTCACTACTTCCCTGCCTCTTTTTTTTTCCTCAGTCAAATGTGAGGAAGCAGACCCACCTTACTGGCTGGAAGATGAAGGAGGTATAACGTATACACTCAAAGGACAACCATCTTCCCATTATGCATCTCTGCAGGATGCTGGCAGGTGCTCTCTCACCCAAGCCGGGTTAGGTGAATGGGTAGATTTTCTTCCACGGAGGTTAAAGTGACAGGGCAGCTAAGTTCTGTGGTTGCACTTGAATCCAATTCACACTGCAGCTCTTTGGCCTGCCACCACCTCTCCCAACCTTCTGAACCCAGAGGCTGGAACACACAGATGGGGCATTTTGAAATAATTATAGCTGATAATTAGAAAGCACCCACAGTGTGTCAGACATTGTGTAGGTACCTTATAAAACTGTGCTCACAGATATGTGTGAGGTGCAAAATAGGTTCATGGACAGTGCTTCCATCCCCTTAGATGCTGTTTTGTCCATCTTAATGATAGACTTATTTTGAGATGGTGTCATGCTCGCCATCTTGTCCAGGTTGGTCTTGAACTCCTGAGCTCACATGATCTTGTTTCTGTGTCTCAGTTGGGATTACAGGTGCGCATTATACTTGGCTATTTTTATCCACTTTTAGGTAAAAAGAAACTGAATCCCAGAGAGGCAAGGACCACGGGGCTAGGAATGGACAAATGCCAATATTTGAGCCAAGGACAGTGTTCTTATCCAGTGCTCCATATTCATAAGAAACTGGCAGCTTTTAAAGCAGAGCTGAGGCTGGCACTGGGGCAGCCCCACCCACCCCCTCTCCTCACGCCAGCCTCACAGAGGTCTGACCCATTAATAAGCATCTGCCGTGGGCTGCAGCCATGGGGTGGGGTTTCTGGGGAATGCAGTCTCTACATTGAGGAGAGGTCCCATCTGGCTCCCCAGTCTGGCTCAGCTGGGGAGACAGGAAGGAGGGGGAGCTGCCCGTCCTGGCCAGGCCCCATGTATGGGCCCTTGTCAGTGCTGGCGGACTTGAATGGCTCTTTTTATCTTTCCTTCTCTCCCCTATTTTCCCCCACTGCCAGCTGGGGCCATTTAATAAAATTAGTTTAATGCTTGTTCCTTCCCTGTGGGATCTGGAGATTGAAATCTGCGGGTCCCCACAAACCCAATAAAACCCCTGGCAGGTCTGGATGGAACTAGAGTCCCCGTGGGAAGTGTGATTAGATTAGAAGGCACTCCTCCTGTCCCCCAGTGATGTCCACAGCTGCCTCCGATTCTTTAATAAGCACAGTGACTCAGAATTACACAGGAACCATCGTTGGGGGGTTTCTACCCTACCGGAGAGGCCATGGAGACTGGCCCTAGACCTCTGTTACAACCAAAAGCATGCTAATCATGTCTACAGTGAGTGCCTGGCTAGCTGGCTGATGTGCTTTCCTTTCTGGTGACTTGATAATCCTCATGTCATTTTGAGAGATGGGACTGAAATCTCCATTCTTGCTGTTGAGGACTCACAGAAGGAAGCTCATGACCTGCCTGTGGTCCTAAAGGCAGGGCATTTGTGGTACAGCTGGGACTGGACCGAAGCCAGGGAGGGTTTTGTTTTTTTTTTTTTTTTTAACCTTTGCAAAGCTCCAGGGATGTCCTGCAGTGCTGGCTGCTTGACACCTAGGCAGCATCCCAGCTACAAGGGAATCTACTAAGGTGTCTCTTCCAGCAAACAGTGGCTTTCTAAGGGCAAAAATCTGCAGTTTTTCCCCCTCCGACAAAAGACAGCTGATGGGGCAAAAGCTGTACCTCCGCCATTCAGCCTGGGACATTTTCTGACAGCAAGGCTTGTGTCTCCTGCATCAGACTAAGGGGACCTCAAAGGCTGTATTTTCTTTTCAAACTGTCATCTAGCTCCTTGATGAAGGGCTTTGTATGTGCTTCAAACAGAAATTTGATCCCTCAGTGTAGTAGTTCAGTGGGCAGGCACAAGTTTACTCTTCTGTTCCTGGAGGCCTTTCTGAGATGAGGAGAGAGTTTCTGCTGGTGAACTGGGGTATCGTTGACAAGACTGTCTCCGTTGCAGCTGGGGAGCTCCCTAAGAGCAGAGAGTGTCTCCCCCTCAGCTTCCTCAGTTGGGGGCTTTACAGGTACAGAGATATCCCAGGGGTGTGGCTGGGTGGGAAGTAGAAGAAGGCTGGGCAGGCAGAATGTGAGTCCACTCTAGGGAATGGAAGCAAGAAGTCTCCCAGGTTGCTGCCCCTTTAGAAAGATGCATGATTACTTAAGGAAGAAGACCCTGTCAGGGCAGGAGTGATGGTGGGGGGTATCCCCGGAGTTCACTCACACAGGAATAGCCAGCTATAGATGCTGGTGTCACCCTGGTTTCTGAGGTTATGGGGTCCAGAAGGAGCAGTGAGGCCCACTGCTGGGGGCTGCCCTAATTGGATGACTTTGCAGGAAGGCCAGGCAGGTGCACTCAGCTCTCTGCTTCAGCTTCCTACAAACACATCTGCCATGTCGAGGTCTAGGGGTTAATTGGCTCCTGCCTCACTCCTGGTAACCAATATTTCATTTACTGCTCGGAGGGGGAGCTGCCCAGACAATCAATCCTGGACAAACATCCAGGAGGTGGGGAGCTGGGCAGGCATGGGAGGAGTTTGGGGAGGAGGCAGGAGCTACAGACCTTCTCTGGGTCTCCGGGGGCCAACTACTCAAAGCAACTCTGACCCTGGCTGGAGTTCTGCCGACCATGACAACAACCCCAGGACCCTCAAAGGCTGAGAGCAAATTCCAGGGGTCCAGAGCCTCCCCCACTGCAGCCAGCCATGCTGTTTGTCCTGCCCTGGTGCCCTCTACATTTCCTGATCTAGATGCCCCACCCCACCCCCAAATGAAGCTGTGACAGGTTAGATGCTGCTAATAAGGCTTTTTTCACACGTGACGATGGTATATATGAAAAACAGAATTGGAGGTGTGAGTTCCTAGCTCCCAGGTAACAAACCTTAAAATTCTACAAATGAGGTGATAATAAAGTGGAAGCGAGAAGTCTATACATGTGTGGGACCGGAAAGGACTGGAAGGGTTACTGAGAAATATCACGTAGTGGCTGAAAGAGGAAAGAGACCCGAGGACTCTCTTGCCCCAGGCAGTTTTCATAGGCCATCCAGCTGCCTTACCTGCTGAAACAGAGAATCAGAACAGAATGGGTGGTTTCCATTCCACAGCTGGGAAAACAAAAGCCCAAAGAAAAGTTGTCCAAAGCAGGGCTAGACCCAGAGGTCACAGAGCCTAGTGGATAAACGGGGAATGGAGACAAAAGACCCAGGTTCAAGTCCTGACTGGGTTAGATGTTCTAGGAAAAGATAGTTCATTTCTCGGACCCTTTGTCACCTCATCTACAAGATGGGGCTGGATAAAACAAAATCTACATAAAGAGCTGTCGTGAGGAAGTAAATGAGGTCTGTTTTGCAAATTATGAAAAAAATGTATATGTTGTAATCCAAGTCTCCTATGCCAGGTGATTAGCTGTTTGCCAGTGCCTGGGATTGATGTGATTGCCCCTATAAGATGATAGCTGGGTTGTTTTCTGGCCTGCTAATGACCAATTGGGTGTGGAACTCTAAGGGGAGGATCCAGTATGGGGACCCAGGGGGTAGAGCTAAGTATTCAGAATGTGGTCTCTAGTCTCCATTCTGGACTCTTCCACCCTCCTGCTCTGTGGGTTCCAACTTGGGGTAAGTACAAGGATACCCAGAGGCCTCCATCTGTTCTTGTCTAGTTTTCCTCTGTTCACTTCAGCGCATGGCACCAAACACCTACCTACACACAAGGCTCAATGCCAAGGAGCTGGACAAGAACCCAACAGTGGTTCTCAACCTGTGGGTCGCGACCCCTTTCACAGGGGTCCCCTAAGACCACTAGGAAACAGCTATTTGCATTACAACTCATAACAGTGACAAATTACTGTTATAAAGTAGAATGATAATAATTTTATGGTTGGGGGGTCACCACAGCATGAGGAACTACATTAAAGATTGCAGCATAAGGAAGGTTGAGAACCATTGCTCTAGAGATTTACAATACCTATGGGGACCCTATAGACACCTACAGCATGGTGGCATCTGAGGGCAGGGGAACCTCCACCAACTGTGAGCAGGGGTTACTCTGAGACAATTATACTATGTGGGGCTTGCTTTGGTCTTGTTTTTTGTTTGTTTGTTTGTTTGTTTTGTTTTTATTGTTGTTGTTTTCTTTTTTTAAAGTATTTTGGTCTCTAAAATCTGAGCCCCTGTGCCCAGAGTTGATGCCGTATTGAAGTTTGGGTGTAAAAGTGTTTCTTCCCTCCCAGTCTGAGCAGCAATTCTTTCCCTAAGTTATTTAGCATGCCTTTCTGTAATGTCTCCTTCTAGCTGTGAAGGGCAAATCTTCCCAGGTCCCCAAGGTGGAAGTCCCTTAGGTTCCTTAGCAAGAAGTTCCAACCTGGACAGGAAAACTGTCAAGGGCGTGAGATCTAAAGACTTCCCTATGACTGATTGACTATATCTAGAGGCCGGTCTTCTAGGGCTTTGACCACTGCTGCTGCCTGCAGAATACCTGCTTGCTCTTCAAAGCCCAGAACCATCGCCAGCTCTTCCGTGAAGCCCACCAGCAGCCACC